GGTGGCCCCATCCAGTGTTGGGCTGCTGCACATCCAAAGTGACGGCAAGTGTCTCTACTCCAACAGATCCCCGTGGGGTGGCCTCCCGTCTTACATCATGAGTCACACTGACAAAGTGGTCTGTGACATAACGGACCTGGGGGGAAACTACTTTCAGGTGAGTTGTATTTCAGAGTTTGAAGGCACAATAGATGACGCGCCAGCCATTTCACCATTAAGGGCAATGGGTCCCCAAACTACGGCCCGCCTATACATTTTGCCCGGCCCACTGAACAATACCAGAGATGCTTTTTGTTGTTATTGGCTTTCAGGTGAGTTGTATTTCAGCGTTTGAAGGCACAATAGATGACGCGCTAGCCATTTCACCATTAAGGCCAGGGTCCCCAAACTACGGCTTGCGGGCTGATTGTGGCCCACCTATACATTTTGCCCGGCCCCCTGAACAATACCAGAGATGCTTTTTGTTGTTATTGGCTTTTTCTGTTGTTGTTGTTGTTTTGTTTTTTTCCAAGTCTGGCCACGTGATCGATACTTGTACATGCATTGGACAGAACATTCTATTCCACCCTTCTGCAGTCTGTGCCCGAGCTGACCCCCACCCAAAATAAATAAGTAAATAAATACAATCCGCGATGCAACCCTGTCCAATAATAACAAAATGGACGAATGGCAAAAAGATTAGGTAAGAGAAAAAAAATGATAGGTTATTATTTTATTTCAAAAATTGTGCCTGTCAAGAGCCCCCAAAAAGATGAATATCTGGTTGTGTGCGGCTTTTTGGAAAACAAGTTTTCTGTTGTTGTTGTTGTTGTTGTTTTGTTTCTTTCCAAGTCTGGCCACGTGATCGATACTTGTACATGCATTGGACAGAACATTCTATTCCACCCTTCTGCAGTCTGTGCCCGAGCTGACCCCCACCCAAAATAAATAAGTAAATAAATACAATCCGCGATGCAACCCTGTCCAATAATAAAAAATATGGACGAATGGCGAAAAGATTAGGTAAGAGAAAAAAAATTATTGGTTATTATTTATTTCATAAATCGTGCCTGTCAAGAGCCCCCCAAAAGGTGAATATCTGGTTGTGTGCGGCTTTTTGGAAAACAATCAATGTTGATGTCTCGACACCTGGTGCGATCATCACACTTTTTGTTACAAACCGAACCCGGCCCCTGTCAGAGAAGGGAAAAGTTATTTGGCCCTCACAGGAAAAAGTTTGGGGACCCCTGATTAAGGGCATGACTGTGCTCAATGGGAGACACGTTACCAATGTAAATCTGTCAGAACACAGTAACACATGTAGACGGATAATACACCAATACTCCAGACGTATTTTATTTATCCTCTGTGATGAACGATGAATATTACGGAGTGTTTTTTTCCTCATTAAAATTGAAACACATTCCACCCCAAAAAAAAATATTCATTTATTTTTGAGCGACGGCATTTGTATTCATTTCAGCGAGGAAAGACGACGCGAGATTTGAGTATTTTCAGTGCTCAATGGGAGACACGTTACCAATGTAAATCTGTCAGAACACAGTAACACATGTAGACGGATAATACACCAATACTCCAGACGTATTTTATTTATCCTCTGCGAAGAACGATGAATATTCCGGAGTGTTTTTTTCCTTCATTAAATTTGAAACACATTCAACCCCGAAAAAAATATTCATTTATTTTTGAGCGACGGCATTTGTATTCATTTCGGCGAGGAAAGACGACGCGAGATTTGAGTATTTTCAGTTACAAGCATGGTCGAGGAATGAATTAAACTTGTCCCTGAAGGCACCACGGTACAGTGCTTCTTTTTAGGGACTACTAAAGGTTGAAACTGTCTTCAGGTGTTCGAAGACGGCCGGGTGACCGCACACGTTGGCCCAGCTCCAAACCCATTGCAAGAGGAAGAGGAAGATGTGGACAAAAGGATGACAGCCATGCCCAGAGACCATTGTCCGAGGGGACACACACACACACACTATCACACACACACACACACACGCCCACACAA